AAGAAAGAAAGAAAGAAAGAAAGAAAGAAAGAAAGAAAGAAAGAAAGCCAGGGTCTTGGGGAGTGGAGGAGTCTCTGTGGGTTTGGAGATGTTAAACAGCTCAAAGTGACTGACTCCAGATGACAATCACTTAAATACGACAGTCACTTAAAAGGTAATTACAATCCCAGGTTGCATCAACAGAAGCATAGAATCAAAATCACGTGAAGTATTAATATTGCTTTATAAACCCTTAGTAAGGCCACAGCTGGAATAATGCATCCAGTTTTGCTCACCATATTACATAAAAAGAGGGTGAGACTTTGGAAAAAAAAGTGCAGAGAAGAGCAGCTAGGATGATTGAAGGCCGGGGAGGGGGGGGGGAGGAATCGTTCTGGTATTTGAGGGGCTGCCACAAAAAAGGGAGGTCAAATTATTCTCCAAAGCACCTTGAAGGCAGGACAAGAAACAACGGATGGAAATTGACCAAGGAGAGAAGCATCTTGGGATTAAGGAGGAATTTCCTGACAGTGAGGACCATTAACCAGTGGAACTGCTCGCCACCAGAAGTTGCGGATGCTCTCCATCACTGGAGGCTTCCAAGAAGAGTTTGGACAATTCTTTGTCTGGACTGGCGTTGTGTCCTGTTCGAGCGGGAGGTTGGACTAAATGACCTTCGATCTCCCTTCCGTCTCTTGTTATATTGCTATTCTGTTAATTAAAGGAAGATCCAACCTGGAACTAAGGAGAAAATTTCTGACAGGGAGGACAATTCACCAGCGGAGCAGCTTGCCACCAGAAGTTGTAAGTGCTCCATCGCTGGAGGTTCTTAAGAAGAGATTGGATAGCCTCTTGTCTGGAATGGGATAGACTCTCCTGCTTCAGCAGGGGGCTGGACTAGAAGACCTCCAAGGTCCCTTTCCAGCTCTATTCTGATTGATTGACTCCAAAAATTGGCAAGTCCCTTTGAAGGAGCATCACTGCAATCTCAGCTATATGTGTAGTCCTGAACTTAAACAGCAGTTCATTTCATGACCACTCAGAGTTACAACGGGGCTGAAAAAAGCGATTTATGACGGTTTTTCACACTTAGCAGCACCCTCGTGGTCCAGGGGATGAAAAGTAAGATGCTTGGCAACGGGTTCATACTTATGGCCGTTGCCCCTTTGTGACCTTCTGACAAGGAAAAAATCAATGGGGGGGAGCCAGAATCGCTTTCCCAACCGTGCGACTGATCTAACGACTGCAGGGATTCGCTTGACAGTCGTGGCAAGGAAGGTTGCAAAACTCACTTAAACGAACGCCTCTCTAAGCAACAGAAAGATTTGGCCTGGATCGCAGTTGTAAGTCGAGGACTGCCTGTGGTCGGTTCTTGGGGAAGTTTTGAGGGGCTTTCTGTGTAAGCCTCGTTTTTCGGAGGCGAGTTAAAAAAAAAAAGATCTTTGGTTGGGCTGCTCAGAAAGAGAAAATGCAGAGCAACAGAGTTGGAAGGGCACCTCAGAGGTCTTCTAGCCCAACCCCCCCCCCCGAGGTGATTTTTTTTTTTTAACAGACTTACAATGGTGGCTTCTCGCTCTGCCCTGGCAACCGCTTGCTGGGCCTCCTGTTCCTCCTTCGTCAGGACTCGAGAGGATTCCTTAATCCGCCGAAAATCCTCAGGGCTGATGATCAGAGATTCTCCTGAGGGATCCACCGTGGGGACGCTGGGGGGGGGGGGGGATGGAGAAAGCCAGAATCAGCCAAGCATTGCAACTAGGAGGGACAAAATCCATCAAATATAGGTTGTCCTCACCTTACGACCACAACGGAGCCCAAAATTTACGTCATGCGAGACAGTTATTAAATGCATTTTGCTATTTCACTACCTTTCTTGCCACTGTTGTTAAGTGAATCACTGCAGTTGTTAAATTGGCAACATGGTTGTTAAGTGAATCTGGCTTGCTCATCGGAAGGTCGCCAAAGGGGATCACGTGACACCCTCCTGGGAGACGCTGCGACCATCATAAATATGAGCCAGTGGCTAAGCCTCCAAGCATAAATCACATTAACCACAGGGAATGCTTCAACAGCCGTTAAGTGCGGGGGAAAAAAATGGTCGTAGCTCACTCCTTTTCAGCAACGTCGTAGCTTTGAACGGTCACTAAAGTGAGCTGTCATAAGTTGAGGACTCCTTTTGTTTTCTCCAGAGTGGACCTTCTCATTTAACATTTCGTCCTCAGCATCTCTCAATCCAGAGATGCTCGGGGTTGAGCAGTCAGAAACAGGCAGGGAGTCCTCGACCTTACAACCGCTTGTCAGAAGGCCGTTTGAAATGGCTGAAAAAAACCGGACGTAACAGGTGATCGGGGCAATTAATTTCCCCAAGCAGCCATAGGGTCAGGGCTCCGGCAGTGACCCCCCCCAATTTAAATCATGAGTCTCGAGCCAAACTTCCAAAACTTAAAGAGGATTTATTAGGAGTAACCATGCCGGCACTGCCTGGGTGTAGCCGACTCTGAGGCACATCGTTCACTGTCACCCTTGACCCTGGTTTTCCCTCCACCCCCCTGGGTGTATCATAATTCATATTCTCCAATGGGACACCTCCATAGCCCAGAGTCATCAATCGTGCTCTCCAGTTAGAATTTTGTGCTGCAGAAACTTCGGTCACCTAGAAACTATCTTTGAAAACATTTATGGAATGCAAGCTGCCTACTGCTTCCCCCCTCCCTTTCTGTTGGCAACTTTAAAAGATCACAGAAGTATTTTATGAGTCGACAGGTAGGAGAAACTGAGGCTGTTGTGGAAGGCTGAGCCCACGGGCTGAACTTAAGTCTGCTGATGGTGTTCCAGGTGTTGAGGGAGGAAGGAGCACGGGGCCTCACCTGGCGGCCGGTTTTCTGCCGCAGGTGTGCAAATCCTCTTCCTCTTGCCTCAAGGGATACATTTGGCTGCTTCTTCCCCGTCCCTTGCGGCACCTTTATTTACATTTAATTTCCTAACTGCCAACTGACTTCACGTGGGCCAGACATGGATATCCTAATGTGGCCAGAGGCTGCAAAACACCCGAGGTCTCTTGTATTTCCTTCCTTTTTTGTTATTGCAAGCCACTTAGGGCAGCCGCCACAGTGAGACAGGCGGCAAATAAATGTAGCCTATAAATAAATATCTGTGGGCGATGGGTCGGCCAAGTGCTTCCTAGAGGGAGCTGTAGAAAGGAGATCTCAAAGGTGCCTTTTCAGGAGGCAACAGGACTTTATTTTTTCTTTCGAAGACGTTTCGCTTCTTATCCAAGAAGCTTCTTCAGCTCTGGCAGGATAGTGAGAGAATGGAAGGATTTATACTCCTCGCAGACAGCTGGTCATTTGCATCCTTTTTAGAGGGCCGTTGAGGCCGCTGGGAGGTTGATCTGTGTCCTCGGGGGTCACTTGAGTGACGCAAATGGTTCCTGCAGTCTGCCATTTTTCCTCTGGAAATCTATTCCTCCACCCACGCCCTTCAAAGCCCCAAATTATATAGCTAAAAGTCTGTAGAGATTCTTAGTCGTCCTTTTAGCTATACAATTCCAGAGGAAAAAGGGCAGACTACTGTCTGCAAGGAGTATCACTCCTTCCGTTCCCCACCGTCCTGTTAGAGCAGAAGAAGCTTCCTGGATGAGAAGCGAAATGTCTTCAAAAGAAGAAAAAAACAAGAAAGTCCAATTGTCTCCTGAGGAAAAAAAGCACCTTTGGGACAATCGTGATCTGGATGGCGGAGAATCTCTACGGGAAGAGGAGTAAAGCCAGAGTTGGAAGTCGGGGGGTACAAGATGCCGGGTGGACTTACACCAGGTCCCGAATGAGGTCTCGAGTAATAAGCCGGATGGTCTCGGGCTTGCGTCCCCATCCCAGGGGCTTCCCTCTTGCTGAACCTGCATCGTGAAGGATCACAACGGGGCTGCCAGGGCGGGAAAGTTGCACGTTCTAGAAAGGAAGGAAAGATGCTCAGAACGTCTTCGGAAAGTCATGGGGAGGGATCGAAAAACATGCGTAATTACATTTTTTATTATATTTACCAATAACTTGAGCTGGCGAACATATCCAACGCACTTTCCTCCTCCTGTTTTCCTCACGACAGCAACAACCCTGTGAGGTGGGGCTGGGCTGAGAAAAAGGGATTGGCCCACCCAGTGTCACCCAGTGGGCTTTCATGCCTAAGGGGGACTAGAACTCACCGTCTCCCGGTGATTGGCCCAAAGTCACCCAATCAGCTTTCGTGCCTAAACCAGTACTAGAACTCACCCTCTCCCGGTGATTGGTCCACAGTCACCCAATCAGCTTTCGTGCCTAAACCAGTACTAGAACTCACCATCTCCCGGTGATTGGTCCAAAGTCACCCAATCAGCTTTCGTGCCTAAACCAGTACTAGAACCCACCGTCTCCCGGTGATTGGCCCAAAGTCACCCAATCAGCTTTCGTGCCTAAACCAGTACTAGAACTCACCATCTCCCGGTGATTGGTCCAAAGTGACCCAATCAGCTTTCGTGCCTAAACCAGTACTAGAACTCACCGTCTTTCGGTGATTGGCCCAAAGTCACCCAATCAGCTTTCGTGCCTAAACCAGTACTAGAACTCACCCTCTCCCGGTGATTGGTCCACAGTCACCCAATCAGCTTTCGTGCCTAAACCAGTACTAGAACTCACCGTCTCCTGGTGATTGG